ATATTATTATATATTAAGATCACTTTCAAATATTAAATGTTTATTAAAATTACGTCCTGGTCGCTTTCAAATATTGTAACTATTACAATTATGTCCAAGATCACTTTCAAATATTAAATATTATAACCATCAAATTGACGTCCTGATCACTTTCAAATATTGTAACTATTAAAATTACGTCCTGTATTGTTTATATTCCTAGAAGCAGCAAGCTAGTTTAATCCTTATGTAAGCTCACGGTCTTGCAAAACCCACGTTCATACAGAGAGCTTATAACGGTGACTTATTTCATACATTAAAATACTTGATAGAGATACATATTTCTCCTTTCCCTCTCTCTTACGATATTCGTTTCTTCTCTTATTCTGTTATGTACTAGTGATGGACTTTGGTGTGAGTTTAGGGTACGTAAGTGAAGGATGGTATTAGAAAGTATTTTGTTAGTATTGTTATTGCTATTGTTGATGTTATTATGGGTAGCATTGTTGTTTTTTTGTTATTGTTATTGTTACTGCTTTTATCATTATTATCGGTATAGATATCAACATCATTACCATCATTGTTATTATTGATTTATTATCATCAATGATATATGATTAATTCATTAACATTATTATTATTAATTATCATCTATTATTTTACTATTATCATTATCATCATTATATTTATCATCTTTTTATTTTCTTATTATCTTTATCATTATATCTTATCATCATTATTATCATCTATCATTATCATTGTTGTTGTTATAATATGTTGTTATCAATCATTTTGTTACATCACTCTTTATTTTTATTATTTCATGATTACTATTATTCATTGATCTTCTATTATTATACTATCATTTATTATGTATTAGTTATTATCATCATCATCATCTTATTTACTATTATTTCAGTTGATTATATCATTATCATATCATTTTTATCATTATCATTATCATTAGTATTGCTTTTCTTTTGGAAGACCCCCCCGCTACAGACACTACCCTAATCATCCGCCGCCCAACGTCGCCGCGCCTCCAAGGTTCAGCTGGCGTGAACGCGGGAAAAGGGCGTGTGAAGGTGTGGAGCAATACCGCGTGCCGCTCTGAACGCATGCTCCGTGAGCGAGTGCCACCTCGTAGCCACTCGTCTGGAACCAAGACACGAAGGACCTCAACACCTTTGCCGCGTGAAGAGGGAGCTGGTCCATGACAGCGTGCGAGAGGTGGCTGGCAGAGGGTTCTTCGTCGGCGTGGCTGGGGAAGTGGCCACGCGACGGAGGGACCTCTATGGCCTCCGCCTCAAGTGTATGGCAGAGTCGGTGAGAATGGGGGTCTTCTGGGGGGGAGGTGCTACTTGTTTATGTTGAAGTGGGTCACCTTCTCAGACGTAAATAAAGATTTATGAGCATACGGAATTGTAGACATAATGGGTTTGTTTACGGCTGTTAGTGGATGTGAATAAACATACGGAGTGAATATATTTGTTTACGGCTGTTAGTGGATGTAATACGGAGGAATGTGTTTCTTCACGGCCGTTGGTGGATGTGAATAAACATGCGGAGTGAATATGTTTGTTTACGGCTGCTAGTGGATGTGAATTAAGATACGGGGGAATGTGTTTCTTCACGGCTGTTGGTGGATGTGAATAAACATACGGACACACGGATTTATAAACATAATGTGTTTGTTTACGGCTGTTAGTGGATGTGAATAAACGTAGAGAGTGAATGTGTTTGTTTACGGCTGTTAGTGGATGTGAATAAACGTAGAGAGTGAATGTGTTTGTTTACGGCTGTTAGTGGATGTGAATAAACGTAGAGAGTAATGTGTGTGTTTGTTTAGGCTGTTAGTTGGGATGGAATTAAACGTAGGTATGTGAAGTGTGTTTGTTACGCAGTATTTTGTGGGTTCCTGTTAGTGGGATGTGTGAATAAAGCGTAGGAGTGAAATTGTTTGTAATGATATAACGGCTGTTAGTGGAGTGAATAAACGTAGGGAGTGAATGTGTTTGTTTACGTCTGTTATGCGATTTTGTGAAATATAAGGAGATGCTAGAGTGAAGGTGTACCCTTCTATGCTAACTGACGTGACCCCCCCCCCCCCCCGACAGTGGAATCCCCATGTTCCATCGGTGGTGTGAAGACGTAAGCCGGCCAAAATGCACTTCATGGGATTTCTTCTCGAGGTCGTTCAAGGCGCTGCAGGGGTTGCGTCAAGGCGCTGCAGGGGTTGCTCAACTTCACGTAGGAGACCAAACCATACGTTCAAGCTGTGTAACAATAGCCTCTCCCTTTATGAAAACCTTAGCTTATTATATTGTACCATAGTGTCCTAAATACAACGCAAAACTAAATAAATAAATAAAAAAAGAAAAAAAAAACATGGAACTTCTTGCGGTGTTCACATTGCAGTCACGGAAGTTTTGATACATATTTTGCATCATTCAGATTTGCAGTTCGATTAATTGAAAAAATGAAACAAAGATCCTTTGCCCTCTCCTCCCACCCCCACCCCATGCCCCCAAGGTTCCTGTACGGCGCCCAAGGACAGGCTGTGGGGAGCGCGGAGTCCCAACGGCGAGTGGACGGGGATGGTGAGAGAGGTCATGGCGGTCGAGCTGACCTCATCGGGGGCCTCATCATCCTGTCCAGCCGGGCCGAGGTCATTGACTATAGCATAGCCATACAGCAGACATGGTTAGTTCATTAATTGATTTTTTAAGTGTTGGCGAGGAGTGTGGATAGGAATAATCATCCAAAACGTATTCTCAAACACCTTATGTTGCTGAAGTAGAATAAAGATCAGAATTTAAACTTCATTTATACTTCAATTCATGGCTGGTTAAAATGTTTCCACGAGTGCAAAAAAAGAAATATTTCTCCAAAGAATCATATCCATATTTAAGAGCCGGTGTTGACTAGCCTGAAATATATTTAAAATTACTGAATTTTGATAATAAGAAATCAGACTCGCCAGTTGCTCATAAGGGAACAAACACCTGAAATAAACCTTGATCGACCATCTGACGGGCAATAACATGTGCAAGTCCGGTGTTCAGTGAAAAAAAACATAATCTTTATTTTCACTAACTTCAATTTTGGCAGAAATAATACAGTAGTTATATTTGAAGTCTCAATTTTCTTCAGTATCTTAACTACCCATTCTGAACACAATTACCACCATTACAATAAATGTTTCGTAGGGTCTCAGCGTGTCTATTGCAGACCAAATGAAAGATAAGCAAGAGTTGTCTGTAAAAAAAATCAACGGAGGCAAATACAATGGTTTTATATCAAAAAAAGAAAAATATGTAAAAGCGTTGTTCTCCTTTATATCATATACTAAACGACTTTATTAAATAAATGGCAATCTACATATGATTGATGAATTTCTAAAAATACATAACGTAAAATGAGAGCAACAATTTTACAATTTCCATATTTTCAACAAATCTCCGTCGAGCATTTAGTTAACTACAGATAAAATAGTGATCCTTGTCTGTTTTTGTTTCTGTAATAAAGTTATTCTTCTCTTCATTTTTATAGTATTTCGTCTATTCCTCCGTTTGTTATTTGGTCATAAATTGGACATTTCAAACCTGGAATAGTCGATATATCGCTTTTATATTGCTCTCCGTGTTATTCATGTTTGCTGAAAATTTCTCCGATGCAAAATGTTGTCAAGTGGAATAACACGCACACTAAGCAAAAACACACCCACGCAGACACATGAGTGTATACATATATCCATCTGTATTCTATATATTCTCTATTTATCTTCTCTCTACATACATATATATATATATTATATATATATATATATATATATATATATATATATATATATGTATGTTGTGTATAATTGTGTATATATATATATATATGTATGTATATATAATGTATATATATATATAATATATATATATTATATATATTATATATATATTATATGTTTATATATATATATATATATGCATAGTTACACAAACACACCACACACACACACACACATACACACACACACACACACACACACACACACACACACAATATATATAATATATATATATTATACATTGGTATTGCTATCGGCTCAAATATGAATATTCCCAGCTGTTCCGACACACATCCGGAAGGTGAAGCAAGACCCTTACCGCCTCTCCCTTCCAGGAACATGATCGTCGTGCGGAAACCCTCCTCCAAAGACATGACCTGGACTTCTTACACCAAGGAGTTCACACCGTGGGCGTGGGCGGGCGTGGGCGTTTTGACGGCCCTCGCGCCCTGCATTCTTCTACTTGGCGAGAAGCAGCCCGAAGGAGGTCCAGCAGGTCGCTCTCGGGGACTCCTTCCTGCTCATGATGGGATGATGACTCAGCAAGGTTGGTGGGGGGGGGGGGGAGAAGAGAGAGAGAGAGAGAGTCATACAGTGAAGTGGAAAAAAGGCAGGAGTGTTACAACACACACAATACACCACACACACACACACACACACACACACACATACATACATATATTATATATATATATATATATATAATATATATATATATATATATATATAGAGAGACGATTCAGACATGAGAAGGTGAGAGAGGAGAGAAAGGCAGGAGAGAGAGATTAGAGGAGAGAAAGAGAGAGAGAGGGAGAGATTGAATGGAAGAGAGAAACGATAGACAGTGATAGAGTTATGAGAGGATTAGATGATAGAGAGGGGGATGGAAAAGGAGAGAGAGAGAAACGGACAGACAGTGAAGAAGGTAGCAAGATGGTCAAAAATAGACAGAGCGGACACGCAGACCAGAAAGGGAGAGATAGAGAGAGAAAAAACACGGAGACAAAGCGCTGCTCGGCACTTCTCCTCGTTTGTCACCAACAGGTTCGGAAATGAGGGTGTCAAGTACGAGCTGCAGGATTATCTTCTTCGCGATGTTCGTCTCGGCACAGCTGATAGTGATGCATTATTCCAGCTTCCTCATCTCCATGCTCTCGGTCTCTAACAACATCCTGCCCTTTAAGAATCTGGAGGAGCTGCATAGGACAGGAGACTACCAGTTGGGTATTTGGAAAGGCTCCTTCACTGAGGACACCTTCAGGGTAGGTTCCTTTTGTTTTGACATAGAGAGAATGGTTATATGCTGTTGTAAACTATACATAACTTATATGGTAGATTCCCATACTACCAATTAGCAAGGGAATGTTTAAAAATCCTTTATTTCAAGAGAACGAATTCCTTTATCAAAAGAATACTTTCTAACAACAAAAGAATCAGAAACTACACAATAACAGTACTACGGACGCAATAAAACAAAGATCTCTGATTTGCTCTCCACACCCGATCTTCCTGGCCCTTCCCCCAGCACTCGGACATCCCCCTGTACAAGGCGGTGTGGCGAGACATGGTGGAAGGGCGCCCGGGAAGCCTCACCTACAACCCCGACGGCGTGGCTCGTGTCCTCGAGGGCAAGTACGCCTACATCATGACCCAGCAGGAGTTCCAGTACAGGTTGTAATCGCCATTGCGTTTGTGTGTCTTCATCAACTTCGCACTTCTTTATTCGATAAATTTGGTAATGTATATACATATATATATAGTATTTATACATATATACATATACATTTGTGTATATATGCGTGTGTACGTAAGTATATCTATGTCTATACGTCTTTATTTGCACTCTGAAAGCCATGTTTACAGCTCGGATTATTCGTTCACAGCTACAGCGACGACCCTCGCTTGGTGACACTGCCGGACAAAGCGGGGATTTTCTACATGGCGCTTGGCTTGAGGAAGAACTCGCCGCTCAAACCCATAATTGATGAACAGTATGTGATAAATGATAAAATTATGAAAAAAGGACGAATGATATTTGTTTCCAAGAAATGAGATACTAAAAACTGAAATAAAAAACATGGTTAAGTAAGAAGTTTTCATCATTATGGTACTAAACCTAATTTAAAAAATCCTCTTCGTCTAGAATTACCAGGCTGCGCTCCTCGGGGATCCTCAACCTTTTCGAGATCAAGAACTCGAAGCAGGCGCTGGCGTTCAGCAGGACAAACGCGCCCTCGCTCTCCTTGCAGAACGTGGGCGCCGCCTTCATCATCCTGGCAAGTGGCGGTCGTGCACGGTGTGTTTTCTCTTGGCGGAGACGATCTACACCAAGTACGCGCGCCCTCCGCCTCGTCCTCGGCCGAAGGAGGAGTGGAGCATCGCCTCGAAGTCAGCCTGGAGCACGAGTCGCCCCCACGGCTTTGTGTCGCAGAGGACCAAGCCCCCCGTGGCAGGGAAGGGCGTAGCGAGGGCTCACAGGATAAGGACAACAGCAAGGTCGACCTCATCCCCTGTAGCCTTTCCGAAGGCTACGGAGCAGCAGAGACTCGCTCACAGACAGATGAAGAAATGAAATCTCGACAAGGATTGAAGATGCACTTAGGACTTCTAATTAATTTATTTATCTTTTTAGCATCTGCAGCGTTTCTTTACATCGGTGGAACTTTTTGAGCTTGTTGTATAAGCGTTTGTGAAAATAGCATTATGTTTTGTAAAGGACACAATATAAACTTTTGAGCAAAACACAACGTAGACTATTATTCAAAAAAAAAAAAAAACACAAACTCAAACATACACGTGCAGAATGGACACGCACGCAAAATGCGTGGATGTACATTTAAAATATAATCGTTTATTTTAAGTTTCTCTCTCTCTCTCTCTCTCTCTCTCTCTCTCTCTCTCTCTCTCTCTCTCTCTCTCTCTCTCTCTCTCTCTCTCTCTCTCTCTCTCTCCCCCCTCTCTCCTCTCTCCCTCTCTCTCGCCCTCTCCCTCTCTTCTTTTTTCATTATAATTATTATTTCTTTAAACTTTGATTTGAACTTTGAGCAAAAAGACATAATATTTTGAAGATTCGTTCGAAGAAAAAAAAACGACGATGAAAAAGCCATGTCTACACAGACGCAAATAAATGGTAGTTCATGGTTTAATGCATATTTCTCGATCTTATAGTTATTATTTTAATTGCCGCTTTCTTTTATCATTATTTTCACTGCGATATAATTGATTATGATGATAATTTATTATTATTGATAATATTATTACTATTATCATTATCATAATCATAATTATCATTATCATTAGTTATCATTATCATTATAAATGGTATCATTACTAAAACCGTAGTCACAATCATAATCATCATAATCTATACCATCAGTATCATCATAATCATCCTTCTATATCATAAAGCCTTTTTTCGCAAATTGTTTATTTTGGCTAAAACTTCGTCCCCCCAAAAAACGAAAAGAAACGAAAAAGAGAGAGAGAAAAAGCCCGGATGCACAACAGCTGGTTCCCTCGTTCCGCTGCCTAACCTGACGCATCTACTTTCACATTTCAAATTGATGGCCACTCTGTCGGTCTTTGTGAAACAGATCCATTTTGCATTCGGGAAATTCAGTAGCTTCCGAATGTTTGAAAAAAGATACTACAAAAATCGTTCAACATTCGGTGTTTAATTGTAGATATATTGGACATGCAATGGAAGCTGCAAAAGTTTGCATTATGCTAAGAACCGTTATTCCATTTCTTATGATTTGTTTGTTTGCCAGTAGTTGCAAATTGTTTAGATCTAAAAGTATTTTTTTCTATTTTGGGTTCGCCTATCCTTTATTGTTATGAGTGTCATTCTTTGTATGTTTTTTTTTCCTAACTCTGATTTTTCTGTCCGAGAAAGAGCGAGAGGAGAGAGAGGAGAGAGAGAGAGAGAGAGAGAGAGAGAGAGAGAGAGAGAGAGAGAGAGAGAGAGAGAGAGAGAGAGAGAGAGAGAGAGAGAGAGAGGAGAGAGAGAGAGAGAGAGAGAGAGAGGAGAGAGAGGATGAACGATAGAGACAGACAGTTAAAGACAGAAAATTAAACGGAAAGACAGGTCAAACACTTAAAGACAGACAAACATAGAAAATTACGGAAAGAAACAGTTAAACAGACAGAAAGACATAAATGGACGAAAGGGAGAGAAAGACCTTGAGGCAGAGACTAAACGCGTGCATTATTTAGCCTGAATCCTCATTAAAACCCACTCTCCCTGCGATAATTTGCCCCCGACTACATCAAGAACAGCACTTGAGCCGAAGGTGCTAATTAGCAGCACGTAATCACGGACTATAATCACTATTTTCTTTGCGTTTCGCCCGCGTCCACTTCCGCGCCACGGTGGACTTCGAATCGTCAAAGAGTTCGAAGAGATAAGTGGGTGATGTGCTGCATGTGGCATGAATGGAGGCGATAGACTGGTTCTCCTTTGTGGCGCGTTGGAGAGAGACTTTGAACGTCGGTTCCATTGTATAGCGTGGAATAATGGAGGGATGGATTGGATGTGTGTGTGGGGTGGTGGGGGATGTGGTGAGTGTGTGGGTGGGTGGGGAATGTGTGTTTGGGGGGTGTGTGTTTTGTGTTGTGTGTTTTGTGTGTGTGTGTGTGTGTTGTGTGTGTGTGTGTGTGTGTTTATGTGTGTGTGTTGTGTGTGCGTGTTTTTTTTGTGTGTGTGTGTATTTGTGTGTGTGTGCGTGTTGTGTGTGTATCTGTGTGGGTTATGTGTTTGTGTGTGTTTGTGCGTGTGTGTTTGTGTGTGTTAAAAGTGTACCTGATCGCTATCTTTAGATCAGATCAGCGTTTCCGAACCCCCTTCCCCAGAAATATTCGCATAAAACACAGTTTCCATGCAATGTGTATAATGTAATTCATATACTGAGATTTGATGGTCTTATGCATATATGAGATACACAAAGCATTATTAAACTTTAAAGTAAACAATAAAAAAAACTTTTTATGCAACAAGTAATGATATTTTTATCTGATCTCAAAGACCCCCTGAAACGGATCCTGGGACTCTAGCTTATGAACCTCTGGTTAGATGATATACCAGCTTATACGAAAGGATATACATATCCTTCTATAATTACACAGGTTTATTTATATACAAAGGCAATATAAAACAATACTGTTCAAGTAAATATTACACCGTGGGTCTTCATTCCATTTTAGTTTCTTTTCGATATAACATAATTTAAAGAAGTTGACATAAATATAACTCACGTTTTAACCTGCTTCTGTACAGCATCAACACAATACTTTATACTGTCATATCAAGAATCTACAAAAACTCAATACTGTGCGAGTTCTTTGTAAGGTTAAAAATATTTATCCTGACGAAGATAACAGTCGTTCCTGCACTACGCTTTGAATAACTAGTATATATGCAGTGACAGGGATTCCACCTTTTGGCACATAATACATATACCTATGTGTATGTGTGTGTGTGTGTGTGTGTGTGTGTGTGTGTGTGTGTGTGTGTGTGTGTGTGTGTGTGTGTGTGTGTGTGTGTGTGTGTGTGTGTGTGTGTGTGTGCGCGCGCGCGCATCGTTGATGTGGACGGTCGAAAAAATGGTAATGAGAAATACAATAGCAGTTGCTACAATAATAATTCATAATAATAGAGATATCAAATGATAGTCATTGCACTGGAACCGAAGTAATAATTCATAATAATTAAGAGATAGTTATTGCACCTGAACCGAAACGCGGTAAACACGCTAACGACCTTAATCACATTTTCTTAATGAGAATCAATAATTTCAAGGAGAGAAATGTACAGCAATGGAAGGTATGGATTTACTTTAATTAAAGTAAAAAAACACTTTAGCTTAGTGTCGTATTGAGTTGGAACATGTTAGATTATGCCAAAGGAAATTATCTCACAAGTTTATCATTCCTGATCGATTTTCTACTTACAAGTAAAATTATAAGAACGCGAGAGAATACCCAGAAAAAAATGAAAACTAATATTATCATCATCATTTTTACCTACATGTCAAGAAGACCTCGACCGTGAGCACCCAGCGCCTAGAAGGTGAAAAGATGGATTTCGCGAAAATTTGTGACCAGTCAACTTTTCAGGTCAATCTCGGGCGAGTGAGACTGGCAATCGGTGCACACGTTTTTATGACGCGCTGTTTTGGCTGTTGGGGTGTGAAGAAACATCTGAGTCATAATTGTGAGGGATTGTCTCATTCATTCTCTTCTCTCATAATATATATATATATATATTATATATATATATATATATATATATATATATATATATATATATGTATATATATATTATAATATATATATATACATATATATATATATATAATATATAATATATATATATATATAATATATATATATATATATATATATAATATATATATATATATATATATATATATATATATATATATATATATTATATATATATATTATATATATATACATATACACACGCGCGTGCGCGTGTGTGTGATACGGATTGAAATAGATGTATAAGATTCAAAGTGAATTTTTCATTTAACTAGTTCATATGCATATGTTCCCAGGCAACTGCACAGGATTGTATTGTGAAGATATTCATTCTCATTCACACCTTTCCTACATTTGTCAACATGAATACGGTTCAAAGAACTGATAGGTCTGACGCGCTCACAAAGGCCTAAAAGCTGTACCATAAGACACTACGATTAGTACAGAGATAGTAAGCCCTCCTATGGGTGACGCCGATGTAAAACCAGACAATGGTTATTGCCAGATTATGTTTAGGTTACAGAATGTACTGGCAACAGCACGGATGTAAGGAATGCAGGTGAATCTAGATGTAGACTGTGTAATGAGAAGAATAAGCGAACACTTGAACACTAAATATCGGAGTGCCATGTGATACAGCCTTTTAGACCACCCAACATGAGGTATAAAGAACTGTGATTATCTTATTGCAGCTGATACATTAGATGATACACTCGTGCTATATGCTAAATTCACTATGTAAAATAATCGTAATCATAGAACATTATGTAAACACCGTGCCTAAGTATATAAACTTATGTAATATTCTTTCGTATGTATGCCTTATATTTTAATTTCATCGTGTATAAATATAGTGATCACAGAATACCTTATTCTGTCGAGTATATTTGAATATACGTAAAACTAATCATGTTTACCCACGCCGGAGCAAATAGCAGGGTGGTAATTGCTTAACTTTAGTAAAGACAAGTGTAATTGTACTGTTATATATAATCATTTGAATTACATTATGTGACTTGCGAGTGGATTTTGTAAAATATACAGAAATGAGGTAGATTCTTCTTTCTTCTTTCATAAGGTTTTAGACTATTCTATAGTCTATACTCCCTATATCCTTTCTTGTAGTTCTTCGTTATTTTCATATTATATTTATAATTCTTGTTCTTTGTAAAACTATATTTAGAAGTAATTTTATTCTATTTGAAGGAAATCGCTTTAGCTTTATTAACGGTTTACTTTCGGATACGAAAAAAATACATTTTATACATTTAATCGTATTTTTTCATGTATCTCTTCCCACAAATCATATCACCAAGTATAGAAAATTACACTCTTTGGTACTACATTCACATATATAAAGTAATATTGGAAAAATAATCACTTTTACATAACCCTGATATAACGGTCACTATTTACATTCGCCGTCTGCACACTTGGTACCAAATCCAGCAAACTTATATCAAAGACGTATAGAGTCTTTGATTTATATATATCATTCTGCCCAGGACAGGTTTTATATGTAAGAATTTCTATAAAAATACTAGCATTTTCACAAACATGTTTAGTTTATGTTATATGCATATAGGAAGGATACTACATGGCTTTACTGCCTGTGTGCCTAATGAATATGGTACATGGCACGTATATAGTTGTAATCTTTATTTGATTTAGAATATAACTTTGCAGATATGTAGAAAATCACAAGTGTAATGGTCGTTATTGATATGTGAAATGTTAATGTGAAAAGAATCTGCTTTTCTGGTGATGCTGTGGCCTAAACACCTCTCCTTTCAACAGTTGTCAGGGAACTGTAGTATGTCCAGTCACAGGAAAGGAAAAACTCATTTTTTCTTATGCAGCTGCCAAATGGATCATGATATAGGTATCATTGGATTCCTGTTACCATCAATAATGAAAATATGTAGGTTTTATTGGGGCAGTAATCCCCTAACCCTCCTCCCCCCATTAGTATCAAGCTTGGCCCCAATAGTGTATGTTTCATGCCTTCTCCAATAGGGGAGGGTATGGATGGTACGAAGGAAATTGCGAGATCAAATATAAATAATCTACATAGAATCAGTCATTATATTGTCAAATGCAGGGGGCTATAACCCCTGTGACCCTCCAATGGGGAACTGTTGCTCCCAACCCCCGCCCAGGAAAACAAAATCTTGCATGTATTCACAGCAGGAGAGAGCGTCAGACAGACTTGGCAACGCTGCTCCCGCATGGTGTTCGTACACTCACCTGCCGGGCTTACATGGAGGATTCTTTGTGTTTCTTGGCAGGGATTAAGAGTGCCCCCCCCCCCCAGTAAGGGTCGCAGGGGACACAGCCCTCTTGCATTAGAAACACTACAGAATACTGATTCTATATTGTCTTTCCCTGCAATTTCCATGGTACGTTTCATCTCCTCCCCTGCCAAGGTTGTCGCTAATGGGGGATTCTCTGTGGCATAATTTCAATATATTTGGATAGTAGAGACTGAGAAGAATCCACCTATACCATAATCATCATGAATTGGTTATGTGCAGGTATTCCAAAAAATTAAATATACATAGAGGGCACTCAATTTCAGGAGAGGAAAAACTGGCATGTTGAAGTTGGTAAAAATGGGAATTATCATTATTATTATTATTATTATTATAATCATAAATGTGTTGGAGGCTTGTTGGTCCATGTTGGGTCACAAAAGAGAGGTCTTTTGTGACCTTTTTGGGACGATTAATTTTAATTTGTAATATGCAGTCGTATATTTATCCAATTCACCTTTTGATGAAGTGCTATGAAAGGGACTTATCAATGTTTATTTGTAATATTCTTTAAAGAAAAATATAGAATATGAATGAAAAGTTCCTAGCCATTTATCCAAGATGTAATCATGTATTATATTTTGTATAATAAAGGAATCAGAGATAGCATTCACAAGTTTACTTATTTTTTTTTTTTTTTTCTTCTTCTTCTTCTTAATAGTTACAGATCAAAATATATTTGGCATCTGTTTAAGAAAGCATGAGTTGATTTTTAAGAGAATTTTGTGTACATAATTTATTTGTTTTCTGTATCATTTTGTCAAAAGTATGATAACTAGAATTTGTCAAGATAAACATATTTTACTTGAAATTAAATTCATTTATTGAATTGATTCCAATTATGCTTCTTTTACAAACACATGTTCCTTCAGTGATTACATGCACAGCATACCTGGTCTCCACTGTGATATGAATGTGATAAAAAGTTTGGACCAAAAACTATGAAAAAAATGTGATCCTAGCTAGTACTCAGGTCACCAACTCCACTTGACAGGTAGAAATTGTTTTGATCTCACCATAAACAAACTACAGAAACATAATTTATATATAGAAGACCAATAGATCTCTTAGTAGTATAAGAATGTACCTTTTTGATGAAAGGAATTGAGGGCATTTAGAATCATTGGCCTTCTTTCTTTGCATTGATACTGGTAACCTATAGAATTTATTAGAAAGAAAAAAATCTTTCTCTATTTTACTGTTTACCTTTAACTTCATGATCATTTGCAGGAAGAAATGGTACCCTCATAGTAAACAATGGCTTGTATCTACATGGTTTCCCAGTTGGTTGCCTTTGTGGTGACACTTGCATCAACCTCTCTTGCTTCAACATGCCCGATGGTACAGAAGACCAATGCGCAGGTGGAACGTAGACTTCTCAATGAAGGTTTCCACAGGTAAAAGGAATGCTGAGAAAGTTGTGTGATTTTGGGTAGAAAATACCTCCTGATTTTTTATTATTGTACTTATATATTTGATTAATCATATGATGATAGTATCTGATTCATACTTAATATGTGGGGAATGAAATCATTCTTATATTTTAGATAAAGTGCAGTGTGTTTTTATGGTTGTTATTTTCTTCATTTACAGAGATCTTGAGACAACTGTGTTCATTTCATCACCAGAAAACCTGCAGTCTTGCATAGTTCTCATCAAAGACATCTTCCCATCTGGGTCATATGTTGACCCAAATCAACTTCGATTTAATAAAGCGTTTGGTGGACCAGACTTCCATGTTCCACAGGTATGTAATGTAGTTGTTTCTATCTGTTTTATGCAAGCAAATTTTATTCTTTGCTGTTATTTTTTCAGTTTTCATAGTTTTATATTTCACTAAGCAGAAATCTGTGATCATAAATAGATTATAAAGAATCTTTGAGTAACTTTTATAGAATCAAATAATTTAATGCATTAGAAATTTATATAAACCCAATAGGGTCATTCCATATCAAATCATCATGATGGTTTAACCCACCATCTCAGAATTGGTTAAAAATTTGCTTGTGTGTAGTAACAAACAACATGACCAATTCTCCAAAACCTGGTTTTGATATACAAAATTGGTTTGGGCTCTGTGGCCATTTAAAATTTGGGTCCTTGACTCCTCAAAACCTTTCATATTTTGTGCCTGATTTTCATTTAAATTCAAAACTGCATAGATTAAGATCAGTAGTGGATATCACAGTCAAAATTTGCATTCTAATGTAATCAAGTATGTAGATTTCAAAAGTAAGTTAGAAATTTCTTTAACTCTTACAGGTTATACCCTATAATGTTTGCAAGAGGCAGTACTTCATCTCCAGGAAAAGTGGTATGCACATAATGCCTTCCCTGAATATGAGGACAAGCCTACCCATAAATAGTGGACAGATAAGCTGAAAAACTGCAAAGAATTGAGCTTGTGGTGTGCTGCCCTTCATATGTAAACTGACCCATAAAAAAAAACATCAATTTTACATAAAATTTGTAAAATGTTAAGAACAAAAAAGATATCACAAGATATGTCAACATTAGTGTCCAAATTTTGCATTATTCTTTGAATATCCTTTGGTGTATCCTGGCTAGGGCTTCGGGAACCCATTATGTTTGAGTGTGTACTGTGTATCAAAATATAAAAATTGCCTAACCCAGTTAGTGAAAGTTACAAAAACTTGAATGAGTTCATTCTGTGCAGTCCTGAAAGTAAAGAATGCATAATACATAGGTGTGCACATTGCCTAAAGACATCAGATGATCTAAGGAACCACATTTATATCCTTCTTGAGGACTATGATAATGACGTTTCAATAGTATTTCCCAGTGGACCGCAACTGACCGTTCAAATCTTATTCAGAGAATAAAAACTGTTGCAAACTATATGGATCTTGTGGAAGTACAACTTGTGAATTTGACAAGGCATTTTTTCATTGCCAATTCTTAAATCCAATATTTAAACTCCCATAAAGAACAGTAGGCACCAACGGTGGCACTTTTTTATGATTTTGCTGAAAATTATTCATTTGTCGTTCAAAGTTCAAAGGTGTCATTGGACTAATCTCCAATGTATTCTACATCCTATAGTAGTTTATTGTAGAAAAGATGACAATTCATACTTTCTATTAAGAGATGACACAAATCACAATGTTGATAAGTGAATCTGTGCAATCAGGAAAAAGATTTTAACATCACTGCAAAGTGGTCTTTCTTTGGACAAGTCACCGAAAACACCATTGTGATGAAATAGGTGTCACCATAAAAAAGCTTGCTGCAAAAGCAAGCTGTGGCAAATAAAAAAATTACCCCAGATATTCTGGATAGAATATATCCCATCAGTTAAGTTCCTTTATGCTGAAAAGAGCAAGGTTGATTTTAAAAGGCAGTTTCTTGAGGAGAAATTTCAAGGCACATATACTTTACCAGGAACAAGATCTTTTCATCATTTTACACCACTTGATGAGTGTACTGTTGCAGCAAAAAGATGTAGTGACGACTCATTATTTTCAATTCAGCGTAATCTTTACCCTAAGTCTTGCCTCATAAAATTTGAAGTTGCTGATTTTATGACCTGGCCCTATGAAGACTTGTGGTGAGTTGTAATTGTTAGTCAAGTGGATAAGGAGCAGAGTGATGCTTGTGTCAAATTTATGCACCCAGGTGGGCCTGCTATGTCATTTAATTGGCTGGAACATGATGATCTGACATCTTTGGGCAATTTGCACACCTGTGTACCATGGATTCTTGACGTTCAGGACTGCACACAATGAATTCCTACTCATGGGTTAAGCAAGATTTTTATATTTTGATACATATTACACACTCAAACATAATGAGTTCCTGAAGCCCCAGCCAGGATACGCCAAAGGATGTTCAAAGAACTAATGCGAAATTTGGACACTAGTGATGACATATCTTGTGATATCCTCTTAGTTTGTTCATAACATTTTACAAATTTTATGTAAAATTGATGTTTTTTTATGAGTCAGTTTACATATGAAGGACTGCAGACCCCAAGCTCAATTCTTTGCAGTTTTTCAGCTTTTCTGCCCACTACCAAAAAATGTCATTTATGGGTGGGCTTGAACTCATATTTAGGAAAGGCAATATGTGCATACTACTTCTATTGGAGGAGATGAAGTACTGCCTCTTGCAAACATTATATTGCATAATTTGTAAGAGGTAAATCAATTTCTGCTCTATTTTTTAAATCTACTTATTTGACTATATCAGAATACAAATTTTGACTGTGATAGCTGTTACTGATTTTAACCTATGCAGGTTTGAATTTTGATGAACATCAGACACAAAACATGAAGGGTTTTGAGAAGTCGAGGCCCCAAACTTTAAGTGGTCGTGGAGCCCAAACCAATTTGTATATCAAAACCAGGTTTTGTGGAATTGGTCATGTTGTTAGTTACTACACATAAGCATATTTTTACCAGTTCTGAGTTGTTGTTTTATCTGATAATTTGATGTGGAATGACTCAATACAAATAGGTAAGATATTCAGTAAAGTCTGTCAGTGAGAGATGTATATTAGTGTACACCACTCTATGCTTGATTATTAATGTGATATAGCATCTATTGATATTTAACATGACATGAAAGCACATCATTGATTACCAATTAGATAAATGTAAATGCATTTATATATACATATATATATGTCCTCCACAGGTCATCAATGTAGAGACACCAGAACACCAATCACCAAGAGTATTTGCGTACTTTTTCAAGCGGGCTTTACGTATGGAAGATGGACGATGGCTGGTGAACATGACCATTCCTGTTCATTTTCGTTACCACAGGTTTGTTTGTTTGTTTTAATTTTTGATGAATATGAAGATATAAGGTAGTTCTTCAAGGTAAAGTCATCCCTGTTATTGTAATATTTTTGGGTGGAATTTTATTTATTAGTCACTTTGAACTGAAGCACTTTTTGAAACATTTTGAAAATAGCAGTTTACAGTTGCGTCAAATACAAATAGCAGCATGGTTATTTATGGTAACTAACTTCTGTAAAGAAAAAAAAATTGTAAAAGAATTTCTGAAGTTTTAATATTTGAATAAAATATATTCAACACTTCTATCCTCTAAATTCTAATAT